ATTGAGAAACTAGTTCACCAAAATTCTTCTTCAAGTGTACATTTGAATTATATGGAGTGGAAACTTGTTTATTGACATAACGTTCAAACTTTTCCAACATCTTTTTAATAGCATTAGATTAATTTAGTGAAATTCCTTCAGAAAGTTTCCTTAACTTCATTCCCAAAATTATATGAGCTTCTTCTGAATCTTTCATTTCAAAATTCTTATACAAATAACTCTTCACTTCATTAACAAATCTTAAATTTGTCCCAAATATTAATGTCATCTACATATAAAAAAAGTATCACATGCTCATTGTTATCTTCTTTACAATATACACACTTGTCATGTATATTATTTTTAAATCCATAACTTAGTATAACTCTATTGAACTTCTCATGCCACTAATTAGGAGCTTACTTTAGTCCATATAATTACTTCATTAATTTACATACTCTATGTTCTTGTCCTTTGACTTTAAATCCTTCTAGTTGTTCCATATATATTTCTTCATTTAAATCACCATTCTTTTTTTTCTTTTTTTGATGGGAAAATATTTCATTCATAAAGGCAATAAGCCTTAAGAAAGGGTACAATAGTGTTTATCAATGAAAATTACATTTTCAATGAATAAAGGAACACTATGCTACCAGAGAGGAAAATGTCTTCGAGGGACCATGCGTGTCGCGCCAGGGAATGCACTGCTTGGTTACTCAGTCTATTGCAGTGCTGAAGGTTACTTTGAGAAAATCTCTGCATTAATTCCTTATTCTAATAGTAGTTATTCTAGCAACAGGAGAATACATATCAAAATAATCAACTCCTTTTTGGGTGAATCCTTTAACTACTAACCTAGCTTTATATTTATCTATACTTCCATCAGATTTCAACTTTTTAAATACTCACTCACATCCAATTGTCTTACTTCCTTGAGGTAAATCACATAAGACCCAATTACTATTTTGTATAATTGACTCGGACTCATCATTGATGGCTTCTTTCCAAAAAGGTGTATCAGTAGAGACCATAGCATCTTTATATGTTTCTTGTTCACCTTCAACTAAATATGTAAAGAATTCTTCTCGAAATGATTTCTCTCTCATAGTCCTTTTACTCCTCCTAAGTTCATGTTCAACTTTATCTTCTAAAGATGAACTAGATGGAGTATTATTTAAAACCATTTTGTTAGAAGTCGAGGGTTCACTTGAAATTGTAGTGTTAAATGGGAAAACATCTTCAAAATAAGTAGCATCTCTAGCTTCAATGCTAGTATTATTTTTAATGTCACTTACTTCAGAATTTATAATCAAGACCCTATTTGCACTGCTATTTTGAGCATATCCTATGAAAACAACATCTATAGTTTTTGGTCCTATTTTCTTTCTTGTAGGATTAGGTATAATTACCTTTGCCAAGCACCCCCACACTTATAGAAATCTAACATAGGAGATCTCTTTTTCCATAGCTCATATGAAATTTTAATATTGTCTTTAACAGTTACTGGATTCAATATGTAACAAGAAGTTAGGACAACTTTACCCCATAAGTCTTCAGGTGCTTCGAAGCTTATGAGCATAGCATTTACCATATCCATTAAAGTTCGATTTTTCCTTTCTGCAGTACCATTGGATTGTAGTGAATAAGGAGGTGTCACTCTTGTATTATACCATTATCCTCACAATAATCCTTAAGATTATTCCTAGTATATTCTCCTCCTCTATCGGACCTCAAAATTTTGATCTTATGTTCTAATAGATTTTCGACCTCCGCTTTATAGATTTTGAACTTATCATAGATTTCATCCTTCTCTTTCAACAAATAAATATAGCAATACTTAGAATAGTCATCTATATATGTTACAAAATATTTATTACCGACTCTTGTTGTCAATCTATTAGAATCACAAACATCACTATGAATCAATTCTAAAAGGTTTGTGTCCCTTCTAACAGATTTAAAAGGTCTCTTACTTTGTTTGGCTTGTACACAAACTTCACACTTATCATTACCAATTTGAGATTTTGGAATCAAGTTTAGATCCATAAGTTTCTTGATCTTCATATTACCAGCAGGACCTAATCGTTTATGCCACAATTGACTAACTTCCTTAGTAAGAACCATGGAAGAATCATGATAAAGATTTTCAATAATATCCAATTTAAACAATCCATCACTAATATAACTTTTCCCAACAAAAATATTATTTTTTGTTATAACAATCTTATTTGACTCCATTACAAGTTTAAAACCTTGTTGAACTAAAAGTGATCTACCAAATAAATTTCTTCTAACTTCTGGAATATGGCGAACTTGATCTAAAATTAAACTTTTCCCAGAGGTCATCTTAAGCTCAACACTTCCAAATCCCAATACAAGAGCGATGGAGTCATTTCCCAAAGTTATGCTTCCTCCACTTGAAGTCTGATAAGATTTAAACAAATTCTTATAAAAAAAAACATGAATATTTGCTCCAGAATCTAATCACCATTCATTACTATTATAAGTAAAATTGACAAAAATGTTGATGATTCACACCTAATGGAATGTCCACCATCCTTCAACATGTTTACTTGATCCTTTTGAAATTTGTCCTTAAGCTTGTACTCCTTAGTCTTTTTGTAGTAGCAATCTCGAGCAATATGGTTGGTTCTTCCACATACATAACATGGCCCTTACTCATTGTTCTCTTTACCTTTGTTATTCTTAGTGTAGTTATTCTTAGGTTGGAAATTTTTCCTATAACGGTGCAAGTTTTTCTTAAATTTATACCTCGAGTCTTAAATTGCTTTGAGGAGCTAGTATTGTTTTTTGAATTTTCTACCAAGTTTGCCTTGGCATGTGATTCATCAGCTTTGTTGATACGATTTCTATGATGTTCTTCTATTCTCAAGGAATTGAATACTTGGTTTGATGTTAAAATCCGTTGCTTATGTCTAAGACTTTTAGCAAAGTCCGACCAAGAAGGCGGAAGTTTATCTATAAGGCATGAAACCTTATAGTCCTCACTAAAACTTGACCCTTTTTCTTCTACGTGTCGTAGTAAATTTTGAAATTGATGGATTTGTTCGTTTATAGATTTTTCGTCCACCATAACATATTTGTTAAAGGTTGACGTGTTAAATCTATCAACTCCAGTATCATCAATTTCATATTCTTCCTCTAATGTTTTCCAAAGCTCTTTAGCATTCTTGATATTTTGATAAATATCAAAAAGTCTATCAGAAAGAGTACTTAAAATTCGATTATGACAATGAAATTCAATATGTTCTGGGTTATACCAAGAGGTAGATTCTCTACCTTCATTATATTCTTTTATAGCAGAAATTAACCCTAAAATGGTCAACCAATATTCAATTTTTTTTCCATCTTTTAAAATTTTTTCCATCAAAGTTTTCCGGTTTAGCATGATTAGTATCTTCACGAGATGTCATTCTTACACTATAAATTACTAAGGCAAAGAGAAGTCTATATATATATATATATATATATATATATAACACCAATAATAAAAAAATTTCAACTAAGTCCTAAACAATTTTAATTCAAATATTCCAAGTAACAATATAACAAATTAAATGAATATTGAAGTTTAAATTGACATAGTAACGATTAATTTTATGTTCAAGTCAATCAATCAAGTAAATAATATGAGTTTTAAAATTTGCCACTAAGTTATCAAAATGAAATAAGTGCTTAAAATTAAAAATATTGACGCAATTTTGAAGAGTGCATTACTTATCTATAAAATTTCTATGAGCTTCCAAAATGAAAATTTATGTAGTAAGTTTTGAAATGAAAATTATAAAAGGTTCTAAAATTTAATAGAATCAAAAAATTGAAGCATAATAATAATGAGTACGTTAGCAACTACCAAGTATTATTATCACACAAACCACACACACGACTTTGGATCGTTGTAAAAATTAATGTGATTTGTACATTGTACTATCAATTATAAGCATGAATCAAATAAAGTAAATATGAGACTAGAGTTAGAAAAGCTGGCTTAAGAGAGTCACGATAATCGCTATCCTAAAGTGGTGTGGCCTCCCCTTTGTACGGGTACTTTCAGCTCTGCACAGCACCAAGATAAAACCCTTATAGCTTGCTGCCAATTCTCCTTCTATGAGCGTGACCACAAGTAGAGAAAGAACGAGCCCTTATCAATTGCCAAAAGTTTATAGAAGAAGATAAAATGACAAGAGAGTAGTATGAAATAGAGTAGCGAGTATTTTTGTGTTTGATTTTGTTGTGTCAAAGAATGTGAAATCCACCCCTTTTTATCGTAGAAGAATTCAACCATCTCACTATGAAAATTAATAGAATTCAACATATGTTACAAATATAATAATAGGATTAAATTTTGTATTGAATCTAAAATTAAAAACAAAACTGAAAAATTAGAAACTAAAACCGAAATTTTTAATGTATAATTTGAAAGTTTCATAACTTATTTTTTTTTCAACAGAAAGTGGAATGTGTACCTAAGAAAAGTTTTAGGAAAGATACAAGAAGACAAAAGATAGAATCATAAAAGAGAGGATACATGGCATAGTAAGCGAAAAGCAATGAAAAAGAAGTAAGAAAGGAACATGCAAAGATGAATAATATATTTATAGGTTTTAGTAGAGTGTAAGCACCTAGGCTCTATACTCAAACAAACTCAAAAGGAATGGACACTATTGCACGTAACTAACATGAGCATTGAATGCATGCATGTTACTAACTGGAAAGGTACAAATAGGCCCTATAGTCACAAGCAAAAATTCCTGCAAATCGTAAAACATCTCCTTAAGATAGCCCATGTCAGCCCACAACAAATAAAGAGAAATATGCGCCAATAAATGTTATCGATAAGTTTCCAATTAAAAAGACCACAACAAGTCCTAGATTTAATATTAATAATAAAATCGGACTTTGAGAATTACTTTTTGAATCAAGGAATCAATTATCAATTATGCAAGCCCATTCCCTACCTAGGAACCAGAAGTGATACGCGAGGAAAATAGCGCAATCAATAAACGAAAGACACTGTAAGCTAAATGAATAAAACATAATTCCGAAATAGAATTAGTTACAAGATAGCCAATAAAAGGCTATCACCTATCATTTTTTTCTAAATAACATAATTGTCCCAAAGCCAAGATAGAAATTGACAAATATCGCCACGAAAGAGAAGTAAACCACGCAAATTTAAATATCTCCCTCCTAAATAGTCATTTCTCATCTTGCTTTGGTTTGAGCATCAGAACTAGTGAGATTAAGACGTGAAATGCTGCTAGGTGTGAGGAATTTGTTGATCTGATTTCTATCGTCTCCCCATTTATCGTCTATGCATAAAATTTGAAACTGTAAAAGGAATAACAATTATCAAGAATAACCACGTGACTGTGCACAAATGCCACCTTAGCACTAAGCATTCCCAAGGGCTCTAGTAGTTAATACGATACTAATGGTAGAAAACAAGAACGATATGCTTTAAAATCCTTATAGGAAAATAAGTTTTTGATGCTAAAGGGTTGGTTGAAAAATGTACATGCCAGTAAGAATAACTTATCAAGAACTTGGGAAAGCATATGAACAAATAATCCCAGTTAGTCTTGGGCCAAAGTCTTCCCGCTTAAATGGGTAATTGAGTTGTATAAGGCGTTAAGTGGTGCCACCTAGACATGAGGTGTTTTCAAACTGTCCCACGTAAGGACAAGGTGTAAAAAAAGTTGGCCTCTTTTAACAGTCTAATGTGAGCATAGACAAGCTTAGACGTTAAAAGTTGGGCTTTATAAAAAGTTTTCTCAATTCTTATGGAGCAATTTCTAAGACCTAAATTCTTGGGCCCATTTGCCACAAAGAGGGCTCTCTACTATTAATTTTCAATTGTTTCTTTTTTGAAAACTCAAAAATTATCTAATTATAGAATTATTAGAAATTATTGTTGAGTAATTAAATTAGCATCGCTGTATTTTTATCAATGTCTTGAAATTCGGCTAGGATGTTGACCCGAAAAAGCAAAAGGATCAAGGGTTGGAATGTCGAACTGTTTATAATAATTAAATAAATTTTATATGCCAGAACAATTGACAAAATTAAGTTAATTTTCTAATTAATTATTATAGATAGACAAAAGCACCCATTAACGATAAATTTGGGTACATTTAATTTTTATTTTTTCATATGGTGAATCATTTAATATCTTTATAGTATTTTATTGTGCAAATGTGATGAAATTAAATAAAATATCACAGAAATTAGAGTGAAAATGTAAAAGAAAAAAGAAATTAATTTGAAAAGATAAAAATTTACACCAACATAATTATCATTTTTTTAATAGAGCTATTGCCTTTTAATTTATTCAACTTTTATAATTAAAAAACTTATTGACCATAACATTCTCGCGTTGAAGAGTCATTTAATCAACTTACAAGTTCGAAGACAAATCAATCTGCATCGGCAGTAAAGTCGGGCTCCGGTGGCTTTTGGAGTTTCACCAATTCCCGAGCACTCCTAAGATTCCGATTTCTGTGTAGTCCCCTGAAAGCATTTGCTGCAAATCTTGTTGCCAAGAACGTCACACCAATGCTATATGAGCCTCCTCCGGCTTTTGTGCTGGCCCTAGCTAACTCTTCGGCTGCTTCATCCTTCCTATGAAGCTCCAGAAGTTTCCTTTTGCAGTGCCGCCTCCAGGCTGCTTGGATAAAGCATGCGGCCCAAGTCCTCCACTGCTGTGAATAGAACCGGAAGGTGTGTTGAACCTGTCTGCTGTGAAGTCGTCTGAACTGACCTGCAACAAATTTTAATTCATCGGCTGTTAGGGCGAAATCCTCAACCTCAATCAATGCCTTCACTGTTCGAGTAGAAGACGAACCGCATTTGGGATCCAGTGCCCAAGTTAGAAGTTCTTCACCACAAAAATCTCCCTCTTTTAGCAAACTGCGGTTGAAAAAACCACTTCTCTCTCCGTCCGTTGTCACACAAATGAAAACTCTGATGAAAGCACAAGAAGGATGGAACATGAGCCGCTTTTCGTCGATAGTGAAATTCTAACCAATGGCGAGACTTATTCTGCCAAGGACATACAGTGAATAAATTCCACCCCACAAAGGTCGGCTAATAAAGTAGCCTCTTTGTTAGCTTAAGTCTCAACAGTTTTACACATTTTTTTACACACACTTTTTTATACTTACCCTTCTCTTTCTCGAAGTCTTCTAATTTCCTTTGAAGAGTGTCACATCAATTCTCGGAGGACTAAGCTTTCTTGTCCAAACTATCAACCAACAATGCCAATTTCATAATATATTTAATGGTCGTGGTGTAATACCGCAGCTCACATTGGATATGAGTGGATTATTTTTTTTCCTTTTTGTCGGGTAAGTGTTTCTGCTAACTTTTTCAATAAATGATTAAAGTAAGTGAAGGAACAGTACTAGCCCTCTCAGACCCTTTGAAGAAGTCCTAGGACAGAGGAGGTGTTGAAATCTTCTGGCGCTAGGAGGCCATGAAAGGAGTTGCATTAAAATCAAATCACACTATAAAATCAAAAAAAGAATTAAAAATTGCGTGACGATTAAGAAATAGAATAAAAGACGAAAAGCCTAATGCATAAACTCACCCGTAATAGTTTGAATGCCAATATTGTAAAAATTTAAGTTGAAACGATGGAACAATCTTTTGGCTTCATGAAACTCAGAACTCAAACTAAGAATATGTGCTACTAAGGCATGAAGATCGTCAGCAGTTTGACTACAAAGGGCCCCTAATAGTTTACATGTACCTACGCAAAACAGTAAAATAATATCAATGTTAAAGCAACAAAGACAAACAACGAAACAACACTTAACTGTATGTGCCATAGATTCGAGGCGTAACAACTAACGGCCCAAGGTCAGTTGAAACCTCCAGTTGCATCGAATGAAGAAAAGTTTTGTGCATATCTTAGGAGAATGAAGAGAAGGGTAATAATGCCCCTTTTGAGGTTTTTTTTTTTCGCTTGCATTAAATGATAAATAATGAAAATACATTTGGTGAAAACTTTCCCTCTAAACTCATGCACCCCCATAATAAAAAAATCTAACCATTTGGGCCCACCTATTTGAAGCAAGTTATATAGGAGCAATATTAAAGAAATAAAAGAACATTGTGGAAAAAGTGGTAAAAATGAACTCTAAGCCCCATATCTATTGAATATTTATGAATATCTATACAATCACAAGGGGAACGGTCTGCACTATGTAATTACTCAGTACATAGTAATTCTAAATCATCAAGGACATTAAATCAGTCCCAAATTTTATTCAAATTCTGCTTAGTACAATCAGTAAAAATTTTCAAGGCTTCAAAAATCTCCTCATCATTCTCATTAAGACTAACTGGTTCATTTGAAGGTTAGGGTGCCTCACCACGTACCTCAACCATAGGTCAATAATGTCCATTTGTCTAAAATGTTAGGTTAATGCAAGAACCAGAATAGGTGACTACAGAGTAAGATAGCACCTCAGTATACAACACTTCTATAGAAGAGGAAGAAGCACTAGAGGAACATCCCTAAGTTTAGAACTTTCAGAATCATAAGAATTTTTGTGAGAATCACTTTGGGAAGATATCAGTAAATGAGAGTCAACACATAAATAAAGAAGGGTTTTGAAGAAAGACGAAAGATAGCAAGAGATCTAATCATAAAAAAAACAAGATATTTATCAGTTTTGTAAAAGGCATAAGCCATTGAATTATGCTTATAACAATCGGAGCCATTTAGATTATTTTGGACAATCATAACCGAATACTATAATAGGTGGTTGACTAAAATTCAAAATGAACGAGTGAGATCATGCATAATCTACACAGAATCTAAAATGCACACATACCACTAATCTGGAAACACGCAAAACAGGCCCACTGGCTCACGAATAAAATGACTACAACATAACACATCATCTTAACATGGCACATGTCAGTCGTAGAAAAGAAAGAGAAAAATGCTTAAGTAATACCACCTATACTTTGCAGTTAAACAATGAAATACAACAAGGCCTATATTTAATATGAATAATAAAATTGGACTTCGGGAACTATTTGTTTAATCAATAAAAATTATCTTGCGATTAGAAACAGATTGGCGCAAACCATTATTGAACACACGTGCATAAGTATTTAAAGTATGATTTTTAAGTCAATGAACATAAGACATGTAAGATAATGAATAACACGTGAATACGTAATAAAACCAGTTATAAGTCGGCCATAAATAACATCACCTATTATTTTCTAGAATGACTTAAATGTCATCAAAGTTGTGAAGGAAATTTATAAATACTCTCACATAAGAAGAGAATGTCAAGTGAATTCTAATATCTCCATAACAAATAGCCATTTCACCTCTTATCCCAGTTTGAATATCAAAATCGGAGAGTTTAGGAGTAAAATCCTTGCCCATTGAGAGGAATTTGTTGATTGTTAATTTGATTTTCAAGAAGTAGTAGCTCTTTAGAAAGAAAGTGGCAAGGACCAAGAAATATATAATAATGAGTAGTAATTTTGAATATATAATTCAAATTAATTTCACTATGAAGTAGAAGGATCTTCGAATTTGATAAACATATTTCACAAATATAGGGTGATTATGTTTGAAGGACTAGCTGCTTTCGATAAAGATTTTCCACCTACAGGAAAGGTGTTGATAAAGGAACTAGGTAATGTCACTTAGGGTACACGCTGATCCTAAATAATTTATAACTCCCTATTCCCAATTTGATATATTTATATGATGAATTGACGATATATCAAGTCCTTACCAAAGAGGATGGAATTACATTCTCCCTTTAGTCCGTGGCTAGTGGATAGTCGATGACCGTGTGGGGCTGTCCAAATGGTCATCTCAAAAACGACCATTGGCCCAAATGGTCACATGACGACACATTTTGAATCTACAATTTAATTTTTACAATTTCGTATTAGCTCTTTTATCATACAATCTTTAGTATTATTATTTCTAAAATTTCTGGTAGCTCAAGTTTTAGTTCTAGCCCTAACAACTTGGTCTATTTATGTTACATTCCACGCATTTTTACTCAAAGTGAAACTCATTTTTAGTCAAAGTCAAGCAAAGTAATTGGTCGAAGTTAGAGTCAATAAGGACTTAAGTTGAGCAAATAATTTTATGGGGCTTAGTTTGTAATTACAAGTACTTAAGGGCTATATGGAGATTTAGGGATTCGTTTTCTATTTAGTAGAATTAAAGGAGTAAATGGTATATTGTATGAAGGATGGGGACTTTAGTTGCAGTTTTATAATGGTTATCTGCTAACTTAAAGGATATGTGATCGCTTTTTTGTTATTTTGGTGTAGAAAAACTGAATGGAGAAGCAAAGAACGAAATGATGTAAGGAAAAAGAAGAAATGGAAGAGAAAAAAAAAAGGAAGGAAGGAAGGGATAGGTTCCAATTTTATAAGGTTAGGTTCCCAATTTCTCATTTTCTCCCTTTAATTTAGAGAGGTAAGTATAAGAATGTGAAATTATCTCCTTTAAGGTATATGGAACTTATCTCTAGAACTTTGAAGTTAGCAAGAATTAGGTGTCATTGATGTGTATTCAAGGTTTTAAATAAGAATATAGCAAGGAAATGTTTATTTGAAAATTGGAGTTGGAAAAAGTAGAATTTTGGAAATGGGTTGTGAGATAAAAGATATATTCGTAGAGTTTCTTGAGATTATATGATACTAAACACTCAAATTAAGGATTTGAGATTGGAATTCTTCATTGTTTTAAAACCAATTTTCGAGCTATTATAGTACAGGTGTTAATTCTGAAATTCTACCCAGAAAAGTGCATTTTCTTTCAATGGTTTCGATGCCGGTTTCAATATACAAGAATTGGTGCTAGATTTCTATATTCTAAAATTTTAGTGTTGTTTTGTCAAACCTTGGATTTCCAGATTTTTAAAGATTTGAATGAATTTATACGACAAATATTGAAGTCTACGTATTGGACTAACTATGTACAACAGTTGTATATGTTTAAGGTAAATTTTAAGTATGAGTTTTTTAATGGTTTTGATAGTGTATGGTGATTGGTTGATAAGTCATTATAGAAGTTCAGAAGTTAAGTGGTGGATTTGTATTAATTTAATTGTTAGGTTTTGATTCGAGAAATTATACTGTTATTTCAAGTAGGGACATGGAACCTTGGAAACGCTCTTCAATTTAATCAAATTTCTATCCATATATCTGTGAGTGGAGAAACTTAAATAATTTCAAAGTATTATAAATTAAGTATATTATTAAGTTATGTGAATTATTTGCTCAATTATATGATTACCATGTAAGTTTCTTTTACTATGATACATGTGGAATTTCGAAGATTGTATATGGTACATTTGTGAATTGGAATATGAGACGTAATATTTAGATTGACTAGAAAAGTACTAGTGATTATATACTTCTTCTAGTTCATAGAGGGGCTTTGGCCGTTTTCTAGAAATGATCACCAGAGGTCTGAGACTGGCTTTCATTTACAGAGAGGGCGAAAGGCCCATTGTGAAAGTTCTTAGCCCGAGTGGTGGATTTCAGATTTTTCTGAGGGTACATTTTTTGTGGATCACATGTGATGTGATGAGATGATATTTATAGAATTATGTGAATGTCTCATTTTTTGCTATAATTGTATGAGATTATCGTGTGAATTACTAAACAATATGAACTTCATGTCTACGTATGAGAAAATTTTTTAAATGAGAAAGTATAATTATTTTCAAACTCTTCCACTCACTGAGCTATAAACTCATATTTTTCCATGATTTTTGTTACAAGTAGTATTGGTCCCTGATAGATTGAAGAGCCTAGTGGTTTTAGAATTAGAGCCACAGGACATATTGAGTGATACGATTTATTTTGGTAAAACATGAAATAATTATTTTGGACCCATCGCATTATATTTTTCATAAATATTTGATTTTGGCAAATATTTTGTAGTAAGTTATAGTCAACCTTGGTGGTGAATTTGGCATCTAGTCAGCATCTATCATTGGCCTACGTCACGTTCTTAGTCCATTAGGCTAATTCGGGACGGGCCGTGTCAGAGTGGTATTAGTGCATGGTTTATA